AAAATGTTGCTATCCCCATGCAAAGAATCCACACAATGTAAGACAAGCCTGCTGGACCAGGTCAATGGCTTGTCTAATCCAGCATCCTTTTCTTAACTAGATGTCTATGTGAAGCCCACAAGTGGGGCCTAAATGCAAGATCAGCTTCCAGTGTATAGTATTCTAAATCATCCTGCCTCAGACACGGAGGCACTTACATGCTCCCTCCTAAATGTCTGCCAGACTCTACTTCAGAGATGGTCCCAAGATGAACAATGAAGAAATTCCTGCTAAATTGGACAGTGGAAAGTGATGAATGTTGAAGACATTTTTCATATGCAATGTGGCATTAGTGTACATATCTATTTCTATCTAGCATGACAAAAGGTATTCCTTTAATATATATGATATTTACCACTTCCTGGAGATGTTTTGCTTCTTATGGATCTTCAAGACCTGGTCTTGAACAACCAGAATAAATGTCTTCATAGTTTTCTGTGATGAAGCTTTCACACACAGAAGTCATCACAATGTTGCGGTCATCAAATGATTGACATGCATACGTGAACTTGCTCCTAATGATAATTACAAAGAAACTCGCCTCATGGTAATAAACTGACAGATGCATTTGTAGGGCATATGTTCTAGATCAGGTTTTATAGTATTTTTTATTGATTGCTGTTGGTTGATTTTTTTTTTAAAAAATCTATTCTTGTTTTATGGTATTATTGTGCTTATAGGTGCCACTGTTTGTTTTTATTGTACTCTGGGATCTCTGGCAAAGAATGGCAGGTAAGAAATGCTTTAAATAAATAAATACATGCTGCTCTGAAATATTTAAAAACACCTCATTTGAGGATTATGCAAAGGTATACAGCCAAAATCAAGTAAACAGGCCATTTATAGAATTGATAGCCAGTCATACAGTGACTGCTGGCAGGGCTGTTTTACAACATTTTCAGGTCATAATTGACTGTCACTTTAGCGTGGAATGAGCCTCAATTACTGCACAGAGATTATGGCTCTTCCTAAAGAATTCAATACTGCCTTTACTTTAAGAGTTTGCTTTAAACTCTCCATTACAGGATAATGGCCTGCACAACCGCAGCATCAAAGATAAAAAAACAAAAGGAGAAAAACAACGGCAAGCCAGTTCCTATCTCACCTTTGCAGAGGAAGACAAGCCAGAGTAAAGCAACGTTTGTGCTAAGGTTAGAATGGGGAAACGGGCTTATAACTCCTGTTCTTTTTAAAATTTTGTTGGGCATTGGTTATTCTGAGTAGCTTCTTTAAGAGACATAATAACTCGTTCATTTGTCTGAGGTCATGTACAGTTCATTGTATAAACATCAATAGCTGCTCGGCAAACCTCTGGACTGCAACATGCTGGCTGTGTGTGTGTGTGTGTGTGTGTTTGTGATCCAGTTGCCTCTACTACTCAAGCAGCTATTGATTGATTAATCACAAGGCCAGACCTGGAGCTGCTAACAGATGATAATGACCACCTGAATTGCAGGGCCTGCATCTGATATGGGGTCATGGAGACAGGTTGAGGGTACTGTTGGTGCACCACTCACCTTGCTGCCCTACAGCCTCCCCGACTGACTTGGCCAAGGCTGTCTTTGGTGTGCTTTTGGAGGAACCTAGGACTGTCATCCTGGTTGACTTCAATACCTATGCCTTGGTTGCCTTAGGGCCAGCTCAGGCTTTCATGGCAATCATGACACTGTCTCAGATGGTCATTGGTTAGTCCACCTCCTGGCAAGGTTCAGAGTTTTGGTGGCAGTCCTACCCTGCAGAAGTCCACCCCACCCTAGGCACCATTCATGCAATTAGCAGTTGTGTGAACGCTTCCTTTTTTAAAAGCAAGCAGTGGTGGAGTGGTTGCCCAATCCAGCTGTAGGGGTGTAGGTGGTTTTCAACCTCTTGTCTTCTCTTGGGGTCCGAATCCAAACTGGGGCCTTGCCAATGCTCTTTGCATTGGAAGGAAAGCTCCCATTCATGCCAGTAGAAGCTGCCCTTCCAATGCAAGTGAGCGCTGGAGAGGTTGGAGAACCAGATCAGGATCAGAGCAGGGGACAAAAGGTTAAAACCTCCTACCTGTATCCTTCCTAGGGTTCTGGTCTGGATTGGGGCCCCAATACCCGCTGTTCACTTTAAAAAACCAAACAATCATGGAATTGCTGGTTATGTGAATAGCATCATGTCTGGTATGGCACAGAGTCTGAGTATCTGTTTCTCCTAGAATGGGGCGTGGTGGTCAGCACTCTCCTGGTTTTTTAAAAAATAAGTGGGCGACCTTTATTTTATGAGCTTCAGGAATTTGAAAGAATTTGGGGTCAAGGTTGTACGGTAGGCATACTTTTCCCATTGGAGGATTGAAAAAAACACACACACAAGGCCAGGGTCTCAATTTGGTTAGGGAACACAGGCGGCTTCCTAGTACAGAACTGTACCATTGGACCATCCAGCTGACTGGCAGTGGCTCTCCAGGTTTTCAGCCAGGAGCCTTTCCCAGTCTTGTTGGGAGATGCCAGGGATTGGACCCAGAGTCTTCTCTGTGTAAAGCAGAAGCTGTGCCACTGGGCTGCAGTCCCTTCCCCTGTCCTCCTCTATGTACACAACACAATGGTTATTTCAGTCCTGGTCACTCACAAACATGTGCACACAGCCTAAAATCGCCACTTGGTTACACAGGCTTGCCTGGAGGACTTTTGCTATTGTAGCACTTCCACGGCAGTACCATTTCGTAGGCAGAACAAGGGTGTCCTGGCTATGCTTGCCCCAAAGTGGTGTAACATTGCTGTTGGGAGCAGGTTCCTCTTTCACAGGATTAACAAATACTGGATATCAGGTATCAGGTGCCAAATACTGAATTTCAAATATGTCAGAGAGCTGACACCCAAGCCTGGAAACATCTGCCAGTGCAAATCTATTTCAGCACTAATTACCATCTCTTCTGGATTGCACCAGCTTTTTTCAGAGTCTTTCTTTGTACGTTGCACCGTGACCTCGGCGATTCCCTTTGCTAGAAGCAAGCTAGGTCAAACACAGTGCACATGCGGGAATTGTCATCAAAATCTAGTTCCTTTCAGCGCTCCATAATGAATTCACTATGTGGCTGCCAAATTCAGTCCTATTATAGGCAAAAATATGTCCACAGTCACTCTCCAAAATAGTCCCATCATGTCAGTTTTCTCGTCTTAATTTATGGCACTTGTTTTCTGACTCTATGCGTATTTATGTGCAGCTGGGACTCTTGCTCTAGCACAGGCCAATTAATCTGGCAAAATTCCTTTTAAGTGAGTTCTCCACTTATTCTGTATTGTATATATTGTGCATTCACAGTCGGTTCTCAGGCCAAACTTGCTACGATTGGAATGCACAATGGCAGGAACTCCCAGAGTTTCTGCTTGAATGTTACATTCACGAGTGATTCCATCTGCTTGCAAAAAAAAAAAAAAGAAAAAGAAAAAAGAAAAAGAAAAGAAAAGAACTGTTGTTGCATGTTCAGACCCTGAAACCTGCCCCCTAAATAAATTCACACATGACTCAAAATTTTGGTTTGGTTTTTGGCAAAATTTAGGCCACAACTTTATTGATTACAGAAAGTGACTGGTTGCATAGGCTCTGGTTCGACTAGCTCCCTGCCATTCAGGTAGCGCTGACCCAGGGTTCCAGGATAGGTCAGCCAAGGGTGAACACCTGGATAAGCGGAAAGCCAGGAACGGGATAACTCCGCCACCCAAATGTCCCCCTGGACTCAGGCACGGGCACAACCCCCTCTCAGGGGTTGACCAAACCATCGAGTCCCTAGATTCCTTTAACGGAATACCCTTCACATAGGGATGGCGAAAGTGTTCTCCCATCCCTATCACCTGAACCAGAGCCTATCCACAACCTTACAAGTTGTGACGATTTGCTAAGCGGCAGGCAAAACCCAAATGGCAACAGCCAATCAGCCACATGGGGAAAATTCCTGCCGTGCCCCTGTCCCAACGACAGACGACACATGACGGCATAGCAAGGTCAAGCACAAAGCCCTAAAAGTAGGGTGAGGTGGGCGCCGAAAGAGGAAGCTCTGGGTCACGTGCATGGGTATAAATAGGTCCCTTAAACCGTTTGGACTGCGTCCCATTGGCCAGATTGTACCCAGCTTCGAGGGACCTACCAATCGGGTATTGTGGCTGACCAGTTGTACCCACCCACAGCACAGGGTGTCAGTTTGCCAGGTCTCACCTCTTTAAGGGAGGACCCAATTTGTGTAATTTCTTAGTCTGTTATGACTTGATTTTTACTGCAGACTAAAGGTAATATGTTCAGCTAAATCCCAGGATAGGTAGCTTCAAAATCATAAACACTCAAACCTTTGGCTAGTAGTCATTCTCTTTTAGCCCTACAGCTTCATCCATAAAATGAGAAGAATAGTGGCCTATCTGAAAGGATTGTTGTGAAAATAAATGAAGTAATATTGGTAAAGCAGTTAGTATGTTTAAAAATGTAAACAGAAATGATTATCAAGGGTCAGTACGGCCAAATAAGAAAGGGTACAGGTAAATAAGGGGAAATGGGAGTGTATTGGCAAATGTATATGATTTTGAGATTGTGAACAAAAGAACAGGGAAACAAAGCCCTGCTCTTTCCTTTTGCAAAGCTGGGCTTAGTAACCATGAGGGCTTGATGCTTGATTTTAAAACCAGGGCTGTCATCCGAAGGAATCAACATTCTTTGCCAGATCTCAGATGGAATGGACTCTTCCGACTGTGCCCCTCACTCCGTAAATCTCCGCATCACATTCCATTTCCTCTCTGGCCCACTAATAAGACCAGCCGCAATGGTTGAGATGCAATGTTAGCTGCTGGAAATGCTTTAGGAAACATTGGCAGCATCTTTATTTTTAAACATGGCTCGCACTGTTTCTGCTAATTACATTGGCCATATTAATGGCACAGACTGTTCATTTTCAGGCAATGCTGAAAAGACTACCTAGAGAGGCGTTATTCTCCCCAGCACGGTGTCATATGTCACCTGGTAGGATATTAAAACCAAGGTGAGATCGTGTTGAAAAATATTTTCTTTTACTGTACAGTAACTCATAGAGCACTGTTGAGTTCAAGAGAAATCCCTTTGCTGGAGAAACGTTAATGCAGGCTGCCAAAGGGGAGAGATTTTTCCACAGTTCACTGTTAGTGTAAGCCTTCACTACCACAAGACACGCTGTCCTGGAATGAACAGCCCTTTTAATGAGAGCTGAAGTTCAGCGTTTCATACCTCTGCTAAAAAGACAATCAAGTTAGAAAAGAGAAGCTTTGATACTCCTACCCTTGGCTTAATTTCTTTTTAACACAAGCACTAATTGGGTTTAAACAAACCAGGGTAGCACATAATAGATTTAACAGACTTTATTTCAGTGAGATGAGACCAAATTTGGTGTATTCAGAAAACACAGGCTCCCTGCTTTTATGAGGTAATTATGACTTAGTGTTTACTGTCTCCCTGATGAGGCTGTGGGCTGCTTTTAAAGTGGCTCTGGGATGAATCTCAGAAATACAATTTACAGTCAGTCCTTTTTGGCATGTAAAACACAGGGGGGGGGCATCTATCTATCTATCATCTATCTATCATCTATCTCTCTATCTATCTATCTATCTATCTATCATCTATCACTATCTCCCCAGCAATTTTTCTTCTGCTTTTCTTCACTCTTGCTTTTCTCCAAAACAGCGCTGATCATTTTCTTTCTCCTATAGAAAACATTTGCTGCCTCATCAGGAACAGTTTTTTTTTCTTCTGAAGGCAAGAGTTGTGAGGATGTGTGTAGAGGACAATATTTTCCCTTGCAGCAGATACTCAAGAGTTTACAAGGGTAAATTCCTCTTGCTTCCATTTAGAAGCAGCCATCAGCTGATAAAAGTGTGAAGGTTGGGTCCTTTGGCAGTAAACTCGCTGCTCCCTTTCATTCAGTTCCAGCTTCCATTGGAACGAAGTATCTGGCTAGATGTCTTGGAATGTCTTCACAGTTGCTGCAGCAATGAAGGTCAACCTGACCTGCTCTACAGCTCAATGGCCTGAAAATACGTCTACATATAGCTTCAAGAAGCACAACACTGTTCTGTTCTTGCTTTTACTACATTGAACGGTCGTGGAAACTTGGTGTGAACAGAGCAGAGCACTTGTAAGATAGGGTTGTCTGGATTTTCCCGGAAATATCCAGAATACCGCAGTCTGCAGCAGTGTCTGGGTGGAAGAAAGAAAGCTCAACAACTTTGGCAACGGTTTGAAATATGGCAACACTATGTGGGACAACCAGAATCAAATACCTGCAAATATTTGAAACGGGCACTAATTTCAACTGTTGCCCTTTCAGTTTTGAATGCAAGTTTTGGAATTTCAGAAATTGAAGTGATCCCTGTCATTTGGTGAACAGATGTATGGAAAGAAGCACCTCTTTTGGATTGCAGCACATGTTCTACATGCCTTTGGCTCCCTTTTGCTCCAGAGTTGTGTCCTTATTCTTGTTTATTTTCTGTCCCGCCAGCATTGCCCCACAACGCCTTCTGAGCTGGTATGCTCTGTCACCACAGGCAAAACCATCAGTGCTCCACACAGCAGATCCCCCTTGTTCAACGATCCTGTGGAAATCGCTTGTTATGTTGTTCAAAGTGCAAATGCAGAACTGGGCAGTGGGCCTTTAAAGGGAGATCAGGGTAGGCTGCAGGTCCAGACCACCTAGCCCTCATAAGGCCTAGTGTGCTGCTGAGACAGCAGGTCTCCTGGGTGAGTTCTAGCCAGCACCTGTCCAGCATCTGGACATACCAAGGTGTGTCTGGTGTGATCTGGTCCTTCCTGTTGTGCCATGCCTTGCCTGTTGTGATCTGACATAGCCTGTCTTGACTTTGCTCTATCACATGTGACTCTGCTCTTCTGGATGTGACCCAGCTCATCCAGTAAGTGCCACGTCTTAAACCAGCCTCTGCTGGGAGCCATGAGCCAATCTGGGCCAGGACAGGGCTATATTAAAATTTAAACCCACCATAATTGCTTGGGAGAAGAGAAACATCAGACCCTCCAAGTATCCCTATTTTCCAGGGACAGTCCCAGATTTACACAAGCTGTCCTGGTTTCTGATTTGATCCTTGAATGTCTCATTTTCCCTTAGAATGTTCCTATTTTCATTGGAGAAATGTTAGAGGGTATGGAGTTATACAACCCTCAAGCCAAGGAGATAAGTAACTATGCAACCTCTAGAAAATATCTGAAAGCAGTCCTGTTTAGGGTCGTTTTTTATTTTTAATGTTTTGTCATGTTTTTATATATGTTGGAAGCCACCCAGAGTGGCTGGGGAAGCCAGTCAGATGGTTGGGGTATAAATAATAAAATTATTATTATTATAGAATAGGACAGGAATAGGCAACCTAAGGCCCAGGGGCCGGATGTGGCCCAATCACCTTCTCAATCTGGCCCGCAGATGGTCCAGGAATCAGCATATTTTTACATGAGTACTGTAGAATGTGTGCTTTTATTTAAAATGCATCTCTAGGTTATTTGTGGGGCATAGGAATTTGTTCTTTTACCCCCTTCAAAATGTAGTCTGGCCCACCACATGGTCCGAGGGACAGTGGACTGGCCCGCAGCTGGAAAAGGTTGCTGACCCCTGGAATAGGGCATCCCTATTTTCATTGGAGAAATGTTGGAAGGTATGCAACATGTCTGCTGTTGTTATGTTTTTTTCTTTTACGAAGAAAACTCCGTAAAGTGCTGTGTGCACTGTGATGGTACCAAATAAATAAAAGGTCATTATTGGTTATTATTTGAGGAAGGGCCTCTACAGCATGCAGAAATTCAGGAGTTCAATCCCCGGCATCTCCAGGTATGCATGGGGGAGAGCCCTGTCTGAAATCTTGGAGAGCTGTTTCTGGTTGGTGTATACAATACAGGACTCGATGAACCAAAGGTCTGACTTTACATAAGGCAGCTTCCCGTGGCCCTGTGCAATTTTCACACAAAACGCCCGATACAAGTTTTGTACCTGCAATTTGAATGGAAAACCAATAGATAGAATTTAGAATCTTGCATGAGAAACATTCTCATTTCCACCCAAACGGCCTATGCAAGAAGGCACTTAATATTGTCCATGTAAATGTCCCAAGAACAGGCAACACAAGGCAAAGTCATACTTTCTGTCTTGGCAGCAGACATGAGGGGAAGAGTTTGTTTAACATTACATTTTTCTCCATGGGAATCATTTATGGGCTCATTCCCATGAATGAAAATGGTAACATCAGAAGCAGAGCAAAGAATCCTTCTTGACAGTCCTAATGTATCTCAGGGAACCCTATATGCTTGATGATGCTATTTGGAATTGGGAACGAAGATTAAATGAGTGACATGATCATTACCTGGCCTAGGCAGTAAAAAGGTATCCTAGAGCGAGCAAATGAGCAGACAGAAGGAAAAGAGCCAAGGATGAAATGTTGAGACAGCCCACATGAGATTTAAAGCTACCACCAGGGAGGAGAAAGGGGACACTAGAGGAGACAAGTAGAAAATACTAGAGAGGCTCTGGGACCTGCTTTGTAAAGGAGAGTACAGGGAGGAAGTTATAACCCTTGCACTCAGACCGAGGAAGGGAAGGGAAGGCATTTAACCAGTTGAAATGAACTGTTGTTAACTATTATTTACCAATATGAGCACCAACCAATTTTCTCTGTCTCTGTGAAAGGGAACAAATTGTGCAGACAGATATTGCCTCCAAAAAATTCCATTTCATAAAATAATGCACTACAGGGTTTTTTATTTTAATAAAACTAGTGCTAGCCCACAAACCCCCTAGACGCAATCAAAAAACAATGGGAGAATGACATAGGCTATGAGATTAACCCCACTCAATGGACCAGAATGTGGTCTAAACCCCTCTTTAAATCCATATCAACGAAAAGAAAAGAACTCACACTGAAACTCACCTACAGGTGGTACCTAACACCAAGAAAACTAGTGCTAATACGCCCAGGAACCTCACCAAAATGCTGGAGAGGGTGCACCTCCACAGGCACATACCTCCACATGTGGTGGGAGTGCCCCAAAATCCAACTATTCTGGAAAACAGCCACGCAAGAAATATGTAAAATAACTAAGCAAGTATTAGATATCACCCCAGAATTGGCCCTACTAAACATCTTCCAAGACAACAATGCCCATTTACACCACAAAGAACTCATAACCCTCCTACTTTCAGCAGCCAGAAACACCATAACCAGACACTGGAGAGACCTGTCAGGAGTAAGCATGGACCAATGGTACCAAATAGTATGGGAAACAGTCCTACTAGAAAAAATAACCAATAAACTGAAACTGACACGGGGACAAACAGAAGAAGACACCTTTATGGCTCCCCTTTATCACATACACAGCCTAACAAGACAACGATAATAATCCACCAACAGCATACAAATCAATATGGCTAACCTGATCCGAAACACCCACCCACCCCACTCACACATGAAAACAAAGATCACCACAGCCAATCACAAGCAAACAACCACACCCTAGGCCAACCCCAACCTCTCGCACCACCAAAGGAACACAAGTGAACAGAACAAGCAGCGCTGACACCAAACCCTACATACATTACGCATAACAGAAACATCGCCACACGACCCCACCCGCACCCATCTTCCCTCCCTCCACCACTTCTTTTTTTCCCTCCCCCTAATGTCTCAACAAATAAAACGGATTTGTAAAAATGTTACATGGAAAAAATATGAGAGACGTTACACTTACTTCTGTAAAACAAGAAAATCTTTAATAAAAATTAAAAAATAAAACTAGTGCTAGGCCATATCCACATATAGGATAAATGTGTGGGGAAAGGGGTAAGGAGAGAGGTATACTTTTCTTCACTGCATGCATGGGCATGCAGCATAGATAACAGGTACCTGGTGTGCTTGTATGCTCACTGTAGTAAAGTGACCTCTCTTCCGCTCTGAGTTGCCATATGTGGGTTTGCCCACCTACAGGAAGTGCCCTTCCAACCCTTTTAGTCAAAAAGTTCTCCCTGATGCTTCACAAGCAGCACTAGTGCACAGTACTGCTCTGAAACAGAGCACAAAGGGCTTTGGGAGAGGGAACTAGAGAGAGGGAGGGAGTACTGGACTGTCGCTGCTTTTGGGTGAGATTCAGTCACATCCCAGGAAAATCAGCTTATAGTTGATAGGAGGTTTTGTGCAACAAACTCACTTCACCAAGAAGACTGAACTTTTTGTGATAACAAAAGTGATGGGGAAAATGCTCAGGAAAGCATTTTGGTTTGGCATGATGTCATCTAGCT